AAGAAGAAGGCGACGGGGGAGGCGGAGGCGCGGCGGCCACCAGCAGCCCCACCGACGACCAGCGAAACGTCAGCAACAACAACACCGCCGAGCCCCGCAGCTGGCAAGGAGGCCACCCCACACTCAGGGAGAGGTGCCGACCATAACATACTCGGGCGGCCACCGTGAGCCAGGCCGCCGGCGGGGATGGAGAAGAAGAAGGCGACGGGGGAGGCGGAGGCGCGGCGGCCACCAGCAGCCCCACCGACGACCAGCGAAACGTCAGCAACAACAACACCGCCGAGCCCCGCAGCTGGCAAGGAGGCCACCCCACACTCAGGGAGAGGTGCCGACCATAACATACTCGCCGTGACCTTCCGACTCGGGCCGTTTCCACCGATTCACGTTTTTGAACTACTTTGCTCATTACGGAAGAGTTGAATCCATCGACAAGTGCTTGAATCGGAATGGGGCTTTTTTTTCCTACTCTTCAGTAGACTAGTCTGGAATGCTCAGGTCGGTTTATTTGACCTCAAAAGTAAGTAAATGTTTTAAATTTTTTTGCCATTACGTGTCAAATGGCGAGGATGCATTACATGGAGCAGTATGGCCAATTTACATACCGAGAATACATCAAGTTGATACTAGATGTGAACAACGCATCGACAACTATTTTGATCGTCGATTCCTAGTTTTGAGACCTTTTTTTCCCCATCTGAAATGGTGCAAACCCTCAAAATTTCAGCCTCTCTTCAATGAATGTCCAATTTCCCAAGGCGAGCGATGATGTGTTTCATCAAAAACGGTCTGCAATCATCTGCGATGGCCACGATGAACGATTGTTTTGGGCCGATTTTCCGACATGGGGTAAACCAGATTTGTAACTAACTGTATTTTCTGCACTGTTACTGTCCCGTTTTGAAGAAAATGAGGGAATGGAGATATTTTTAATCTGGAAAAACTGACAGAATAATCGTTAGTTGCAGCCCTCCTTGGTACATCCTACATTGATGAATCGGATTGCTTTTTTTTTTTTTTTTCTTTTGGCTTACATCCGAGTTAAACTTGAAAAGGACTTGAAGTGATGAGAACATTCCAATCCCAGTAAAGCTATTTTATGATTTTTCTTTTTTTTTTTTTTTTTTGGAAGGAACGCCTTGATGTTCAACAACGAGCTGATGGCTGACGTCCATTTCATTGTGGGGCCCCCGGGCGACTCGCAGAGAGTTCCGGCTCACAAGGTGACCAAACAAACAACGAGGCGCTAGCTAGCTAGCCCGCGCGTTGCCGGGGAACATCAACTGACGTGTGACCGTCATTTTTGTTTTTTGCACGGGCAGTACGTGCTGGCTGTGGGCAGCTCGGTCTTCTGCGCCATGTTCTACGGCGACCTGGCCGAGGAGGAGGCCGACATTCACATCCCGGACGTGGAACCCGCCGCTTTCCTCATCCTGCTCAAGTGAGTGACGCTATCGCATGCCAAGTGGATTTCAAATCGCGAAAAAGTCCACCCCCCAAAAAAATCCCGATAGAGTGGTCCGGGAGTAGGGAAGGGGAGAAGCGTTTTCTCATCAGGTCAACAATGGCTTCGCCATAATTCAGTGGCACTCCCAAGATGGCACCAGAGTGCTACTTTTGTCCAAATGAAACTCACTCATTTCAATCTATTTCCTTGACACCCAGAAGGCGCCAAAGCACCATTTTTGTTTCACCAAGATGTCGGTAAAACACTTTTTTTTTTGGTCCAAATGAAACGCCTCAAGTCAAGCTAGTTCATTGACATGAAGATGGTGCCAAAGCACTATTTTGTCCAAGTGAAATTCAGCCCGCTTCAACGTACTTCCTCGACACCAAGATGCACCAGAGCACTATTTTGTCCAAATCAAACTCACGCCAACTCGCTTCAACATAGTTCCTCTAACAACAAGATGGTGCCAAAGCACTACTTCTGTTGCATGGAAACTCCTCAACTGAACAGCGCTACGAAATGGCCCAATCTCTAAATCAGGGAGATCCCGGGGGGCCGCATTCCAGACCCCAAGATTTCAAAAACTCAGATGACTCATCCCAAGCGAGGGAGACGGGTCTGTAATTGCTGCTCTTCTGCAAATAAAAAAGGATAACTATGGGGCCTGACAGTATGTTACGGAGCAGGTTAAAAATAACCCGCAGCGCCGCAAAGCATGCTGGGAGGCTGCGGTGGTTTCACTTTGATGGGAACGGAGACGTGGAGGGATGGCGCTCGCTCGGCTTCCCGTCATCGGAGCGGGGCCGCATTTGAATGCGGACGTGACGTCACGCGGCCACGTCAGGGTTGAAGGTCTCTTCCAAGTGCGGTGAACGCGTTTCCCTGCGCCGCCAGGTACATGTACAGCGACGAGATCGAGCTGGAGGCCGACACGGTGCTGGCCACCCTGTACGCCGCCAAGAAGTACATCGTCCCGGCGCTGGCCCGGGCCTGCGTCAACTTCCTGGAAACCAGCCTGGAGGCCAAGAACGCCTGCGTGCTGCTTTCTCAGAGCCGGCTGTTCGAGGAGCCCGAGCTGACGCAACGCTGCTGGGAGGTCATCGACGCCCAGGCCGAGCTGGCCCTGCGCTCCGAAGGCTTCTGCGAGATCGACGCGCAGACGCTGGAGATCATCCTGCGCCGCGAGACGCTCAACGCCAAGGAGGCGGTGGTGTTCGAGGCCGTCGCCGGCTGGGCGGCCGCCGAGTGCCAGCGGCGGGGACTG